TGTGGGATGTCGTGTACCTCCCAAGGGTATTTTGGTAATTTGAGTGATTATTAAGTGGACCACTTATGGGTATAGGCGAGGTGGTTGGAGCTATATCTGGAGGTGTAGACAGTATCATTCCGAGATGCTAGCAAGGTGAGTTATCCTCACTATATTAATAGGGTCTAAGGCACCAAGGTCGGTCTTTTTAGTTGTTATCTTGGTTATAGTATGCTACATGTGGTAATGATCTGTTAGATCGGTATCAGGATACACAGTATGTTGTTATGCTCTTATGATCCGTTAGGATTGGTATGTTAGTGACCGGGTTAGGTTAGTGCTCTGGTTATGAAAGATTGCTATGATTGATGATCTGTGAGATAGTTATATCTAATATTTGTATATGCCAATATATGTTAGTTATGTGCACAAGGTTATTTGCTTGATGTTTGGGTTAAGGCGGTCCTGCTTTGTGCTGAAGGCCAACATACCCTACGAGCAGTCCGGATAGACTGTAGGCCCGTATGGCGTTCCAGTCATACCGAAGGCTCGAGATTGATCCAGATAGACTGTAGGCCCTGCAGGGCGGTCCAATCAGGCCGAAGGCCCAGTATGGATGTTGTTGATTATCTGTTATTGATATGGTATTATTGGTGTGGTATTGGTATTTTGGGGGTACCTCACTAAGCCCTCAGGCTTATAGTTTCAGTTTATTGTTTTAGGTACTTCCGGAGATCATGGCAAGGCGAAGGTTTGACTGGACCGCTCCTCATCCATCTGATTATATTTCTGGGACACTCTGATGAATAATATTTTGAAAACATTTTGTAAAACACTATTTTGTTTCATGGTTGAAAAGTTTAAATTTGGCTTAAAATTTTTGGATGTTACAATAGTTTGTATCCCTATACTTTCTAATTAAATTAGGTATAGTATTGGTCCCTAAAGTTTATATTTTGCACTAATTACAACAACACCAAATCCAAATGGTGTATAACTCAATTGTCAACTTAAATTTAGGTCTATGTATTTCCTACCAATCTCAAAAAAGAATGAAGTTTAAATACTGGACACCTAATCCTTATTTTAGATTGAAAAAAATAGTTCTAACAAATCAATGAAATAAAAACGACAACATATTGTGAGCACTTGTTCCTTCTTTTAGATGTGGATGTTTGTCTAGGATCCAAACATTGAGATTATGGATTCCTGCATGTCTTTTCACTGTATATATACTCACCACATCATGGATATTTGTGCCTTCTTTTAGACTAATCCAAGGGTTTAATTCTATTTTTTCTGGTTGTCCAATCAGACCTTTCATGAGAGGCAGGTAAATTTTCTCTTTATCTTTTTTCATCCATTGATCCTTTTTGGGCATTGGAGCAATTTCAAAAGCATATACTTCTTTAAACTTCTCTATATTATAATATGATCAACATACTTATCCTAATTATTATCCCTTATAAACTCAATCAAAAGTCACTATCCATGTTCCATATACTTATCCTATCACTGTCCATGTTCCACATTGTATTATCTGATCCACCATCCATTCTCATCTTCCCCAAAATAGATTCGTTGTTGTAATGAGGCTGAAGGCGGCGATGACTAAACGAAGTTACTAAATGAATGCTTGTGTCGTGTGTGTATTTAGATGTCTGAAGTTACTAAATGAATGTTTGTGTCATGTGTGTATTTAGATGTCTGATCAGATTGCACCATTTGTGAATTCAGAATGCCAGATTATAGTCATTCCTCCATCTACGTGAGTAACCAAAAGAAGGTTTTAGATGGTAGGAGCGGCATGGTCAATTCAATTTATGTTAAAAAGGTTTTTGACATTTTAGGCAATTTAGTCAAATTGTTTTTGTTTTATAAATTAAATTGATTATAAAAATAGAATTTTTTTTAAAATTTTTAAAAAAGAGAATTTGGGTAAATAGAATATTTTTAAAGTTAATAAGGTTAAATATGATATTTAGATTTCAGGTTAACAAATACTATATTTTAAAGTTTAACAATGTTATATATGAAATTCTCTTCGTATCTAAAATTTATTTCTAATTTTCAGCATCCCACAAAATGATAGACGAGTCATCCTTAAAAGAAACCGAGTCTTTCTTTTATTTTGATTTTAAATCTCATGCATTATTCATTAAATGTTTTATATATACATTTTTCTTATTATTTAATTACTTACTAATATTTCAAGTATGTTTTAGTTTTAGGGATAATGACTTGAAAGGGTAACGAACTTTCGACTTTGTTCACATTTAGTCACTAAACTTTTTTTCGTTATCTATTTGCCATTGAACTATTGAAACTGTTCACATTTTACCCTTATGACCGGCTGTTACCGGTCATAAGGGTAAAATGTGAACAGTTTCAATAGTTTAGTGGCAAATAGATAACGAAAAAAAGTTTAGTGACTAAATGTGAACAAAATCGAAAGTTCGTTTCCGTCTAAAAAGTTCAATGGCTAAATGTTAACAAACTTCCTATTGTATTATGTTTTAGCAAATTATTTATTTTTGTTTAATTGTAGCAACATTTGTTGATAAAGAAATCTATGAAATAAAAAAACAAAATGTAACATCCGGATTTCTAGGTATCAAATTTTAAGTATTTTTCTTTTGGGTTAAGAAGAGAGACTCGACGAGTTGACGCCTCAACTCGTCGAGTAAGTTGCGACTGATGACTCAGATTAATGAATGGACTCGACGAGTCGGTGAGACGACTCGACGAGTCCGCACTGTTGGCAGAAACCTTATTTAAAGGCATTTATGGCCTTCAATTGTGACTACCTTTCCCATAAGTGAGAACCTTAGCGAGCTTGAGTGTGTAGAGTGAGAGGAAGAGCTATCTTGAGCTTTTTGGTGTGATTTTGCAAGAAAGGAGAAGAGTTCCAGCAAGAGGGACCAAGGAAGGTTATTGTAACTACGTATTCATGTGATAATACTCTAACCCCTTACTATGAATTATGAGTTCAGACGATGTTGTAACTACGTATTCATGGGATGTTACAAATTCTGCATGACAAACCAATGGTCATAATTCACATCAGTGAGAATGGTTCATTTTTTTTGTAAAACCAAAATCAGATTGGAAATTTTGATTTTTTATTTTGGAAAATGTCAAACCATTGGTTTTTTATTTCGGTTTTGGTTTTTTGTTTTTTTAAATGTATTTTCATGGTTTTTTTATTTCATGGATTTCTTCATCAACAAATGTTGCTACAATTTAACAAAAATAAATAATTTACTAAAACATAATACAAGAGAAAGTTTGTTCACATTTAGTCATTAAACTTTTTAGAGGGAAATGAACTTTCGATTTTGTTCATATTTACTCACTAAACTTTTTTTCGTTATCTATTTGCCACTAAACTATTGAAACTGTTCACATTTTACCCTTATGACCGGTAACAGCCGGTCATAAGGGTAAAATGTGAACAGTTTCAATAGTTCAATAGCAAATAGATAACGAAAAAAAGTTTAGTGACTAAATGTGAAAAAAATCAAAAGTTTGTTACCCTTTCAAGTCATTATCCCTTATTTTTATAATCTTCTAATTTGCATAAATAAAAATTCCTTATTCCCTGAAAAAATTATATACAAGATATTTTCTGTACTTTATAGTCATTTTTGAATTAGTTAGTTGCGCCTCGCTCGCTGCATATCAAAGTTCGTTATTCCAAAAAAAAGTATTCTACCTTATGCACCAATAAGGTGACTCCACGTGGACAAAATGAAAAGTTTGCCGCCTTGTGTTGAAGCCCTGAAGATGAAGCAGTTGAGTTCTTCGTTCCTCTATAAATAGTAAAGACCTTCTGTTACAACTCATAACAACAAACTTCATTCCTGTGCTCATCATAATGCGACTTCAGACTTCCATCACCATCTTCGAGTAATCTGCTCTGCTTCTGCGCTTCATTCATTCTTCGTTCATAGGTACCGTTTCTTCCTCTCTCCTAGTTGCATCAATGTCCAATTTCTGCTTCTTGTTTGAAGTTTTAATTACAGTTTGATAGCGTACTTCTTCTGTTTGTTGATTGCAGTTGATAATCTGATTTTATATGATCGATTTGCGTTTCTTTTACATAAACGACTCTTAATTCTCGATTTCTTTCCCCAGACTTGTTTGGATTTGCGATTAATGTTCATGCATTGAAATTCCTCAATCTCCTTGTTCTTTCTCTCTGCTTCATGGTGCTATTTTAGGGATTCTGAAATTGTATCAAGATTTACATGATTAGCTAAATTTCTTCCAATTCGAGTTTGTTAATCGTTTTATGAGATGTTCGTGAAGATCTTACAACATGACGCTTACACATCTAAGTGTACATAATTTTATCTGCGTTCTTTGATTCCTTTTAACACATTCGTCAATTCTTCTGCGTATCTTGTTCATTCTGTTCCATTTTCTTCTATTCAGCAGTTAAATTCGTCGACTCTGTTTTGTATCTGATCTGATTTCTGCTTCTATTTAATTTCACATTCAAATTTAGATCGATTCTTTTGAAACTATGATACTGATGTTATGGTATTGTCTCTTGGAGGTCTTTTCGTTCTTTGATTCCTTGTAACACATTCTTCAAATACCTGAATCTTTTGCTTAATTGTTCATTCTGTTCATTTTTCTCCTACCATTTCGTGAGAATTCAGAAATTTATCGACTCTGTTTTCGTATCTGATCTGATTTATTCTTCTGTTTAATTTCACATTCAAATTTAGATCGATGATTTTGAAACTACGATATGGTTGTGTTTCTTGGAGGTACCTTATTGATTACTTGAATATTATAACTGGTTTATCTAACATTATATTGGGCATTTCCTCTAACTTGGGTTCAAGATGCAATTGCGTTCAGATAATTCGTATAACATCGCGATCAACTGTTTCTGATGTGCTTTTCTTCAATTTCTTATGATCCTTTGTATATTTCAGGAACTTTTCTAGTTCCAGCTGCTGTTTTGAAACTAAAAGACGCTAATTGTGAGATTTTGTGCTTAAAATCAAATGGCTGGGGGATCCAAACGTGTTCCAACTCAAGATAAAAGCAACACAGAGTCGAAATCAAAGGATGAAACTCAAGGAGAGACACAGATTGAGTCAAAACCTGAGGATGATCAGAAAAGCGCTTCAAGTGTCACTACTGCAGAGGCAAAGGGAAAAGGAAAAGAGAAGAAGCCTGTGTCTCCTAAAGGAAAGTCACCCATGGATGCTGCTAAAAAGGGAAAAGCCAAAGGAATTGTAATTGGAGAAGCTAAAGAACCAGAAACTGAGACTACTGTTGAGAAAAGTGGGAAGAAAAGAAAGAGAGAATTTGTTGTTAAGAGTTCTTATTCTTTAAGATCAGGACTGAAAGGAACTGCTGTGGAGGTTGGTCAACAGAAGAAAGTGGGAAGAAAGTCTGATGTGAAAAAAGTCAAAGGAAAGAAGGAGGAGAAAGAAACTACTGATGATGTTGAGGAAGAGGGGTCATCATGTAAGAGACAATCCAAGCGTATCAAGAGGAATGATGACAAAGATAAAGATGATGATGGATCCAAGCCAAAACGGGCATTGAGGGCTAGGGCTTAGTATTAAACTGATGCAAGAATTTGATAACAGGATTTAACAAGTGCTATGTGGTCAATTGTGTCTAGTTTGTTGATGGGTTTTTCTTTTAAAAAAAAAAAACATATATTGTAGGCTTTTGAATGGAAGAGTGGTTGGAACACAATGTTAACAAAATAATAAAAAGGTTGAAAACTTGAATCCCATTGTTTTGAATTTAGTAGACTTGTAGTATTGCAATCTGCCTCTATTTGAAAATTAAAAGTGCAATGCTATTAATGTTTGTATTTGTCTTACAAGTCATTTATCATATTAAGGGGTTATACCTGTCATTAAGTCTTGGTATGTATGTGAAAATTTTGTCCATCGAGTAACATATTATATGGGATTCAAAATGGCCCAAATGCTATAAAAATCCATAAGTGTTGTTGAATCAAGGTTCAAGCCTAGGCATAACTTCATTTGAACTCCTAATTGTTATCGTATATTGTCATAACTCATACGACAACACATATATTGATATAGGATTGAAAGAATTGATTGATGGTCAGGTTCAACTGGGTAGGAGCAAGGAAAAATAGCGATATAGTGAGTTAGTAATTGATACATAATGCATGATACGAGTATAGGGTGTTTCTCATACAAATTTATGTTAAAAAAAAAAATTTCTCTTCCTTTATTTAGATATAATTTGTTTATTTTCTCAAGTATTTTCTTATAATTATTTCATTATTTACAAATTAATAGTTATTTATATACCAATTTTTTTATCTTAATTTTTACGCGAAATAAATGATATATTTAATTTAATTCCAAAACTTAGTTATTATCGTATAACGAATGAAATGACAAACGGACAAGTTGTGCCGCTAAAGAATTGCTTCATCTAGTATTATAATATAGAAGTCATTTATTAATTTTAATCGACTAAAACTTTTTTACGTTAAAAAAAATATAGATAGATTTAATGTTGCATTCACTAAAGATTGATTTATAGGTATCACGTGTGTTTAATGTGTCCATGTCTGCCCTACAAATTATATTAGATATGATACATTAGGATGAATGTAAAACCAAACACTAAGAAGAAGAAATGAAGATTACTTGTTGAGGTAAAACTGTTGAACAACAAATTACAATTTTATTTTTTCACTAGAAAAATATGGGAATGATTTTACCCTGAAGGGAAATATGAAGCACCTGAAAAATATGTGAATGATTTAACCCTGAAAGAAACTTGTTATTATGTAATGGTTCGACCGGTTTTCACCGGTTTACATGAACATCGGTTTTTTGGCATTTAAGAACCATATCCAGGACAAGTTCCCGGTCGAACCGGCCGGTCCGGTCCGATTTTCAAAACATGGGTAATATGTGGATTTGATGTAAGAAGCTCATATCTAATTTAAGCTCTTATACATTTACATTTCTGCAATCATCTGTCATATTAATTGACGATTTGTTCAACAGGTTGCTGAAAAAGTTGCAAAAGGGGAACTAAACTCTGCATTTGCCATTGTTAGATCTCGTGGACACCATAGTAAGAGTGATCAATATTCAATGCAATGATACATACAGTTTGTCAAATCAACCATTGACTACTATCTTATGAATTATCTAAATTAATTCTTCTTATGTATATTGCAGGAATTAGGTATTAACAAGATATTAATTGTTGATTGGGATGTTTATCATGGAAATGGTACTCAAAAGACCTTCTATAAGGACTCCAAAGTATTGTTCTTCTATGTACACAGGTAAATGATTAGTTTCCAATATTAATAATAATCTCTTATTAAAAAAACTTTGGTTTAAAACTATAAATAATGCAAGGATGAGTATGAGACTTTTTATCCCTATGGTGATGATGGATCATATGACATGAAGGGTGATGGAGAAGGTGAAGGATACAATATAAATGTTCCATGGGAGAATGGAAAATGTAGTGATGCAGATTATATTGCAGCATGGGACAATATACTAATCCCTATTGCAAGAGAATTTAAACGTGTTTAAGTAAGATTTTTTATCTTGTAGTATGGTTCGAACATTCCATTTTTTATAAATATCATTCTTGATTGATTTTTTTGTTATTATTAATGGTCTTGATTTGACTTTTTTTGTAAATTTCAGTCAAATATTAGTGCCAAAAAACATGCAATTGTGATGGACACATGCAACAGATATCTCTAAAAGAGAACCAATGGTTGCATTACAGGTATCAGCATCAAAAACACTAAATTTTTAGCTTTTTAATATTGATTAATCAGTTGTGAGTTTTATTTGTCTTTTAAGTTCTATATTAAGTCACAATTTTCTTGATAAGGAATGAAGTATGTAATTGGATAAACCAGTGGCGGCTGCTGGAGTAAGAGCTCTAAGCAAGCTTTGACTGTTGTAAGTTTGTAAGTTTCTTTGATTGATGGATTTTTGTCAAGTAAAAAAAGTGAATCGTGTTAACTGAAATCACATACATATATTGCAGATTAAGATAACATCTTTGTTTGGACATCATTTTAAAGAGTAATAGATTAATGTATTGCAATACTATTTCACCTACGTTGCTGAAAGGATCAAGAGAATGTAAAGGCATTTATTTAAAAAAACTAGGAAGAGTTGAATCTTTTTTTTATTTGGCTTTTTTTGTGTAATTTGCTAAAAAGTTGTATATCTGCATGATAATTTAAGACTGTACCAAATGGAAAATAATTTTCCCTAAGCTTTTCGTTTTTAGCTATTGTTGGTTTGTTTAAATTTGAGAATAATTTTTGTTTATCAATGAATAATAATATATTTTACCATTGACTAGTTACTTTACTTAAGTGGGTCATATGCAAAAAACAACAAAAATCAGTGACTACTTTTTATGGTCACTAATTGAATAAACCAGTGACGACTTTGTATAGTTACTAATTGAATAACACATTGACGAATTTTTATGGTCACTAATTGGATAAACCAGTGACGACTATGTATGGTCACTAATTGATTAGCACAATAACGACTTTTTATGGTCACTAGTGGGAGTGTGGGACAAAATAGTGATGACTTCCGTTGATTAGACAAAATTTAGTGATGAAACGGGTCGTCATTGATTTAGTGATAAAGATATTTTAGTCATTATTTAGTGACTACTTATATGTTTTGGTCACTAAATCGGTTTTGTGACAGACCTATAGTGACGAAAAGTGACGACAGAGATTTTAGTCACTAAATTGTTTAGTGACAACCATTTCTATTGTTAGTGACCATTTCATTTTGGTCACTAATTAGCATTTTTATTTTGTAGTGGTGATGGCTATGGGTTGCTTACGATTTAGGAGAACAGAAAAGATGAATCTTTTAGAAAGAAGTGTTAGGAATATGATGAAGCTTTGATGCCATGTTAACTAGTGTTTTTTTCATGAATAATATCTTCTCGTTGATTACAATATATAAATAAAGGTTTACAGTTTACCAGGACATAAAAGGGTTGTTACAAAACCGTCTAATGTTAGGTGAAACATACATAATATATATAATACATGCACTAACAAACCTATTTATAAACTTCTAAATTTTTTATGGAAAATAAGGATAGATTAATGAATTATGTTAAAATAAAACAAAACCAAAGTCTTTTTCTTTATAATTTTAAGATATTGTCCTTTGATTAACATAGAGTGATGATATTTAAACCCTAAAAAATCTAAATTGATGTTCTGTTTTAAAGAAAATATCCATTATCTTCTTTTAATAGTCTAAATGTTACCCTTTTAGCTTTGCTATTGGAAAAATTTTTAACTAAATATATCTTTAAAATTATTTTATATATATTTTTATTAGAAAAACCCTTTAATGTATAATAGCTTTTCTATTGAAGCCGCTTCTTTCCCATTCATCCTACCATTATGACGTGTTTGACATGGAGTGTTTAGAAGTTTTTAGTTTTTAGCATCTGATAAAATGCTATGTTTTGAACAAAAAGTTTTGTTTGGAATTACAAACTTTTAGTGTTTAGCTTAAACAAAACACTCTAAATCTAAAAGATATCGCACGTAACGTTTAACAAAATGCTACCAGCTACACGCTACTCATTACCATGCCGAAAGGGAGGGGAGAGCTTTCATCGTTAAGTGAGAGAAGTAGAGATGAAGCAGAACGACGACGACAAAGGTGTTGTCGTTGACAGAATCCAAGGCGACTAGATGTGGAGTTCCGTAAACAATGACATTCACTAGTTTCGAAGCTATGATGGTTTTCGTCTCGAGTAATATTTGAGTGATTAAATTTTTATCATCTTCATCTTCCATCCAATTTTTTTCAAATTCAAAGATTTGGGTTTGGATTTTCTTTTGTTAACTTTTCCTACTTTTCAACAGCAAAACCATTGAATCAAGTTTATTTTTGGAGTTCGCTTTTTGTTTATCTTCTTCTTCTTCCTCAATCAACATTCATCATCTTCACCGGATTTTTTCATCTTGAAAATCTGGTGCCATTGTGCTTCAATATCTAAGAGTGATAATAGTGGGGTTTGATATGAGTTTGATTTGACATGAGGTACCTTTATCTTGATCTTCATACCTAAGATGAACAATTTTGAAGCCAACAAAAAAACGATGTTTGTTTTTGTTTGAATTCAAAAAGGCTAAGGGATTTTAACTATTTGTAATAGAAAATTTTGTGATTTATGTTTTGTAATCTACTATATCTATTATAATAAATGAAGGTTTTTTTGCCACATGTCATCTTGTCATTCATTTAGACACATGGTATTTTCTAGAATTTTTAAATTTTCTATTTTTCACTTGTCATTTTATTGTATTTTTCATTTTATTAAATTAAAATTCTACATTTAATATATAAGGTAATATATATATGTAAGGTATTTATTAGAAAATGTTTATATATGTAATGTATTCAATACATTAAAGCCTCATTAATTTTAATAATTCAAAATTTTTCTCATCTCTAAATATTATTAAAAGAGAAACCTTATGACATCATCTTAAATAATCTGGACCCTTGATTGTATTTCAATCTTA